TATTACCGGAAGCTTTCTTCGTAGAATATGCGCAATTAAAGTATTTGGGACTGCCCTTTTAAAGTTGTCAAGACGGTCGTCAGTCAAATTACCGTTAGCAGAAGGGCAAAATCCGCCTGAATTTCAACTTGTGAAACCCAAGGGCCAAGTTTAGGAACGTATAAAGACCGTGAACCTGTATGCCATTGTCTTTTCAATCCTTGCAACAAATAACACTGCTTCGCAGCCGGTATCTATAAAAAAAGCGAAACGTAAGCGAGATCAGTACCTGTTTTGCAATTTGATGGGTATAAACGATGTGGGTATCTTTATCGTGCTATATTTGACGTATGCCTTCTTGTCCCAAGATATAAAACTGTGATCCCGGCAACACTAAAGCGCCCGTGTCTGTTGCTCTAATAGTGATCGTTTCCCCCACACTTCACCATCTCCATGGCGTGCAATATGATACGACTATCAGCTTTATTGCTATAGGTGATTTATTTCATGTATTTGTGTGGCCTATGCCGGGGTTTTTGTCCCGTAGAAGGTTTCCCTGGTATGGTCTTGTAGTGTACGTAATATATTTATTTGTTCTTGTCATTTCTTACGCATCAAAAGTTCTGTCTTTTATTTAATTCCCTCCCGATTATGTCTCACATCACAACACATACAAGAACCCATAACACAACGTAGGAGTTCATTCGATTCGTGGCACCCATATCGAGCCGATTGCCATCCAAATGCAAAAGTGCCGCAAAATGTCCATCGTTTCGACTTGAATGATAGGTGGCTCTGCTCGTAGTTTTTTCTGAGAGTTGCCAACGGTAAAACGGTGAAACAAATAGACCACTAGGACCATTACACATTGAAGCGAACCTATCTTGTATGCTTATTGGTGCTTCCCTTCATCAATGTCATCACTCTTTCATCATCACAGTGCTCTTTTGCATTTCCCTAGTATTCTGGCAACTTCAGCGCCTTCAAAAGTGTACTTTAGAAGTTATTATTATATAAGTAATTCCCTTGCTCTTTTTCATGTTCAAATTCAGCCGGATTACAATGTAACAAACGCAATTTTTAGGATCGCTAGACCTACTTCTGTTCATGTTTCGTATGAGGAGGCATATGTATAAATTTTCGTATGGTGAGCAAAATACGAATTATTTCAAGAAATTCCCCTAGAAATTGTAGTTCTCGTAACGAATGTTGCCGAGTGTTACAGAATACAGGCCTTCTGCTTCCTAACGCACAATTCACAAACTGATAACGTATGGGCCATCTTTGGTTCAAACTACCTACTGTAGTTACAAGCGAAATGGCATATATATAAAATAAAACTTCCAGGCGGACTGCCTATACCTAAAAAAAGCTACTGCATCTTATTAACGTGATTAGCACAAAATTTCAAATTAGTAGAAATAATTACCAAAAATGGTAATGATCTTTTCCTTCTCATTGATTTGTTTTTAATTATTAGCTGTACTGAATTCAAAACCACTTCCGACGAATAATTTGGGTTAACTTTTTATCGAGTAAGCATATAGAAGTAAAATTCAAGTTAAGGAAGTCTGGAAAAAGGAATATACCTATGTTCCCTTATAAAACCTATTTTCTTCACAGCGTGCAAATTTGGCAATATTCACAATTTTATAATTTTACGTAAATCGCAAATAAATAAACGTCGCGGTGTTAATGCATTATTATACTTAAACGTTGATTAGAATTCAGTCTTTATATAAGGGGAAGAACGCAGAATTTCGTTTAATGAACGGGCGAATGGGAAAAGATGAAAGGTTCCTATACTGATACACAAAATTAGTTTTTTAAACATATACATTTGACGTGCACCGATCAACCAATAGCTTCCCCGTGTATAAATAATATTTAATTTACTCATTCCAGTTCGTTTATACTTTCAAAGGGCGCGGTAACAAAATTAAGGATCAGAAGAAAATTTTGGTTAATCTGTTTACTTATGCAAAGCTTAAATAAACATACGAATCAAATACGCTATTTGGTTTGAAAGCCCTCATTTTGTGAATTTGAAGCTTAATTAGCGCATTTTTTTAAAGAATTAGATGTCTCCACTGTAATCTGTCAAATTGTTTGCTAACAAGCTGTAGTATGTGCAGTCAGACTGTAAGAGAGAAAATGAATAGTAAGCTAATTATTACGATATACATCGATGAGTCATATCCAAGAATCGACGGCGCAGACAATACCTAAGTTTGAGTATCCATACTCTTGAAAAATTGACCAAATTATAAATTACAAACGTTGATCTAAGTTTTACGAAAGTAATCTCTATCATATTCCTTGAAGAGGAAATACGTCATTAATTACTTATTACTACTATTATTTTAATTCCAGTGGGTTTTTGGGCGCGATTTTATTGATATGTATTTATAATGCAGGTTAAACTGAGAAACTCAATTTCCCGCACCGTTATTACCACTTAATTGTTATTTTCTGGCCGAGTTAATTGGGGACCTTAGTATTGGTACGCATACTCGCGCCCTGTAACAATCTCCAGTTTATCAATTGGCCCTGAACATAAAAATGCACCGCAGCTTAAAAAACAAACTACGCGGCTACCAGCAAATGCCACTTCAACGCAGCCAGCCCTCAACTTCTCTCTTAGAGGTGCAGAATTCATCTTTGCTTTTCGCGCACTGCACTTACACGCCAACTTCTCCTCGCACCTTATACATGCCGTCTTAATTCTACACAGTATGCGTTCGTCGACCTAATATAATCCCATGATAAACATACAATTGTAACAATTTTAGGAAACTTTTATTAAAACACAATGTTACGCCTATGTTTCTAAAGATTGAATTTATCGAGATTTTGGCGCGAGGATTTCCCAATGCATAGAATCAATCGATTTTAAGAGAGCGGAAAGTAAAGTTCTGTTCTGGCGCTCTCCAGATACCAAATATTTATAGACCGATTTTTCAGTCATTTTCATAATTTAAAATTCAGCTATTGAGCTATTTTTGGGCTAAGAAGGGTTTGAAACTGTAAGTGCGTTTTCACTTTATTTCAATAATTAATTATACTCATATTTTAGCTTCTTTGTTTTGGTTATTGCGTTATACCTACTTAATTGTAATACCGAGCGTCGGACCAATCGCCTCGCCAGTTCAAATTAAGGACGTTTTACGTTACCATCAACTCAGAGCCGGACAAACCGGAAGAAGACCAGCCACTAACAATCGCAAGTAGCTTAATTACAAGTTACGAGTAGCAAGTTAAAAGCAACTCAATAAAGAAAGTTAGCCGGTGCATGTGTGTACTTTATTTTACCTTCGATATCAGAACAGTTTTATTGTTCATTTTCTAATGCTAAAGATACATTTTCCTTTAACTACAATATAGAGAGTAAAACGTAATTAACTTTAACATTACCACCCTGATCTCGCCCCATTGGACTTCCATTTGTTTTGACCTCTTAAAGCGGCTCTCTTATTAACACTGTTAAAAGGAGCAAAAGTGGCCTGTGGATCAAACCCAAAGGATTGTATGCTAAGTAAATACTCGTAAGTGCCCCTTCACACTGAGCTGCTCAGCAGTTTTGCACTGTGTCCCATTCCGTGGCTAAGCAGCGCTGCTAAGTCGCCCAGTTTGAGGGGGCACTTACGAGTATTTACTTTGAATTTTGCAAGTATAAGCATATGCTCCCTTTTATTCATATGGGCCATGCCATTAGAAGGACGATGGGCCACTTTTTCAACCTACATCCTTTAATTATATAATAGTTAATATAAGGTATATTTTACATAGTCACACATTTTTGATATTCAATGGCCCATATGAATAAAAGTAAGCAAATGCTTATACTTAGCAAAATTCAAAGTAAATACTCGTAAGTGCCCCTTTATACTGGTTTGTTTAGCAGCGCTGCACTGCGTCCTGTCCTTCTGCTTAGCAGCGCTGCTAAGTCGCCGAGTGCGAAGGAGCACTTAAGAGTATTTACTTTGAATTTTGCAAGTCTAAGCATTTGCTTACTTTTATTCATACGGGCCAATGTCGCGGAGAATTTCAGGATTACTACTTATATAACAAATATACTATCGCCGCCACAAGAGAAGAGCCCTGCGTCATCAATGTACGAATGCATAAATCCAAGGTGTTGATACTTACATCTCAAAAATTTGCGCAACCCAAAAAAGGACAGAGACCGAAACAAGTTCTTGGGATATAATAGACGTGCGCTTTTGAAAAGCTAAATGTAATGAAAAGAGATAACCTATAACGCTTGTCAAGTTTAACATGCATATTGGATGCTGATTTGACCAACGTCGTAATACTCCTAATTATTTTCAAATTTTCCATAACCTCTTTTGCTCTTCGTTTTTGTCATTCTTCTTTTACCTACGTTTTTTTTTCAACTTTCCTGTTCTTTATTGCATTTTTACAAAAAAAGTTCTTTTCACAACTATTCCTTCCTTTGTAAATTCATTTACGTTTATCCATTCCCTACACTTAGCCTGTAGTATGTCTGTTCAAGGCAAAACCTTGCATAGACAAGCACAGCAGCTTGTTCTGAATTTAATGGACTATTTTCAACGGGAGAAGGAAAACGGTGGTCCTTTATTACCCCTCTCCTGTATACAAGAGGTAAGCAATATGATAACGATTTTGTTTGTCATTACTACGTTAACGTTGCGGCTGCTCCCTTATCATTGCGAGTTTAATGCGATAGAACTTATATGGGCACATTCAAAAACATATTATGACAAACACATCGGTAGAGATGGTTACAAGGATGAAAACGTGCTTGCAATGTGGAACGAAGCTCTACAGCATTGCGATCCAACCATCTGGGCAAACTGTGTTCGTCATACAGAAGACACGATAAAGCTATGGTATAAACGTGAAGAAAAGTTGGATGTTACAGTAGGCGACATGGTGATTAACGTGGATGATGGTGACGATACTTCTGAAGAAGACTCATCAGACGATGATTAAATATTAGATGAATATACGTTTATTTTTCCAACAAAACAATGTAATTGGTATAAGGATATGTATTGAATTATAATTTTTCTGTACCTACAAATGTTGCATGGCTCTTATAGTATAAAACTTCACATTTCATCCAGTCACCTAAAAATCAAACAAGTTCGGTTATCTTTTTGAATCAGGTGTAAATATCCTTACCTTGCATAAGTTGTTGTTAGATTCTAGGTGTAATTTGAGTAATTACCTCCGTAATTACTAATTCTGCTAGCAGTTTTCCCATTTAGAATGATATAACCTACAAAATTAATTTCTAACTGTTATATGATAAAACAACGAAGCTTATGGCTCACCTTTTGAATTGATACAGTAATTACACCAAAACGTCTACAGTTTTCTTCGATTTTGTATAAATAAGCTGTTTTCTTTCCCCTACCTAATAACTAAATTTGACAAGTAAACAACTGAATTGGGATTTGCTGTTGCTCTTTTTAAACCTTTGCGAAACTACGCCATCTAGTACATTTTTCAACAACTTTAATATTTATTATTACGGAACTATTTTGACTTTGATTTTAAATCTTAAATCACACGCTTGTAGATGATGACGCAGGGCTCTTCTCTTGTGGCGGCGATAGTAAGTTATTCGTCACTCAAAATCACTTCAAAAGACCAAAACAACTAGGTCTTAACGCAAAATGAACTTACTTTATTTTGGCAATCGATTTTGAAATTTTTTTAATTTAGTAACCACTTGACTTACCTAAAATTAACATGAAACTCAAGACTTACTGGGTTTCTAAACACACGTGTTAATTTTTTTAAAAAACAATACCTAATCTTAAAATCTACCCCAAAACAAATTTAATGTTCTTCATAGATTAAAGAAAAACAATATAAAAACACCAGTGACAATTTCCACCCTAGAAGTTAATATTGCAAATTTAAAAAAATGTAGTCTATGGCCAATAGAAAAAGATGAAATTACATTGGTCAATAAAAGCAATTCAAGCTTCGGAAAATCCGACCTAAGGTTTTTAATGCGTTGATGTGGTGAACTTAAAAAGACAAACTGGACTGTATTTTATGCAACCCACCCTATTTTTCATATTTGACAATCTATTTTTAATTGTTTTCAACGCCCAAACTATCCTGCAGAATGAAATCTACAACGTCAAAATAGTTACCTCGAATAGCCAGTACCTACTTGTTTTTTTTTGTGAAAATAGGACACAAAACCCTGAAGCTTAAATGTTAAAGTTCTTATTATTGGTCGACTGTAGTGTGGCCAGGTAACGACGAAAAAAATAATTAATAACAATAACGTGTTAGATCATTTTTACGTTGTCTAATGGAGAGCTATATTTTAAACTAGTCAAAAAATTAAAATTTTTTAAATTCCTGATGAGAATATTACAGCGCATTATAATAAATCCTGTCAGTACGCTAAGGAAGAGAGAAGAACGAGTTTTGAATTGTGTTTATGTACTCTTGGAGATGCTGCATATTCATTTGTGTGTAATTTAATAATACGTATCAAGATTATTCGAAACAAAGAACATATTTGGTTAAACTGGTAGTATTAAAGTTAGAGTTATCACTGAAAAAAAGAACCCCCAAAACAAATCCTGTATTCTGATTGGCGCCAATGAACTGGCGCCGTCTCTTATAAGCTTCCATTTTTTTAAGGATCCACTTTGAAATTTATCGAGTAACGTCACAATAAAATGAAATTAAATTAATACAGCCTTATATCGTTTCTACCGATCAGGCTGGTTATAAAAAATCTTAAGAATGTTGCTGCTTCGCGTCTTCTCTCTGTACCCTGTTATACTATTTCTTCCATTTCATAATACACACAAAAATTGTGAACGTACAACTAAGAACTTATTGTGGAGACAAATCTTACTCCGCCTACGTCACTGTAGTCAGTGACGAAAAAAATTCCATTCTCAAATTCTTCAAAGTTGTGCACGTTTTCTTACCCCGATTCATATCTTCTTCGGCGCACGCGACACTCCCGTGTCTAACTGCATTCTTGTATCATCAACTGACATGTTTATTTTTTTATTTGGATCTAAAAGATCGAACAAATCAGTTACAAGATAAAAAAGAAATTTAACAACAACGGCTGATTAAAACACCACAAATTGGATAATTATTGATGTCAACCGTGCTAAGTGACTGCCGTTGTGACCTCAACCCATCAATTAAGATTAAGTTGATCACTTCCATTTTTTTTTTCAAAATACCCGACGTAATCGGATCTGGTGAATTATAAATCGAGTAGCACAAGCAGGCGTTTTAATAATAGTTAACTTTTAGCTCGATAGGTCTGGAGTATATACTATAGTAAATATGGTAAGCTCATTACGTAGTAAAATATTATATTATCAATGGCAGAGCATTACATCAAGTTGTAAATTGCCTCAGTTGTAATAAAGTCTCTATCTAATTTTAACTGGATTCGCACCAATATGAATGAATATATAAATGTTGTAGTGGTGATTTACAGAGCAGTTGCATAATGGGCAGTACGCTGCAATCGATCAGGTTAATTGGAAACCAAACCTCACGAGCCCCCCTGGAGTGGTTCCACCCAACTCCTGTGGCTTTAATACCCTTCGTTCCCTACGCATAATACACCAGCACGGGCCTATCATAATTAGCAGAATATGTTAATATTCACATTCCACGCATATTTTCAGGTGTATTGTCTTATTTGTTATCCGTAGCCCTTCTGAATACCAATAGATCAACAAATAACATAATTAATGGAAATATAACTTAGGTAACTTTCCCGCGACGTTAATTTTTCGTTTTCATTAACTAAATTCTTAGAGAAATTTATGTCAATTATACCCAAATTTTGATAGGGTTATTTATTTAATTTTCATTACTAGACAGTTTCTAGTTCATTATAAAGGTTGTTGTTTTGATTGACGGTAACTGGACGGTACAAGTTTCTGTGAATAATTAACTGAAAAAAAAATTAATTAATAGGCTTTTGACCAATTGGATGCTTACAGACGAAGAATTTTTTCGGTAGGTATTACATAATTAGGTACGTAATACGGATTTAGAAATTATAATGAGGATATTTATTATTTACAGCACAAATTGTGAATTCCTGTTGCAGTTCTGATGTCAGATGTGCAGAATTTTGTTTAAATTTATGTAGACAACAAACGTAAGTAATGGTGATGATGACAAATGTGACACTCATAAGACTATATTGCAAAAAAGATTGCTTTAGAAACAACTTATATGTACTTGAGCGTAAATTCATCTTTGTATGACATGCTAAAAGTGTCCTTTCAATCTGTAATGTAAACCCAGTAAACACATTTTACGTTTTTTTAAGGTGTCATTGGTAATTTTAACGTTCACTTACGTGTTGACCAACGTATAGTATATTTACCCTATTTTTTACGTACCTATAATCATCGTTTAATTCGTCAGAAAGTTTTGCGCTTTATCTTTGCGTTTTTTAAATGTGTTTGTAAATAAGAAAAACTCGTTTTGATTGAAACGAATTGTTTTTCCCAAATATTTGCCCAAAAATAGGTAGCGTTTATTATTAAATAGAGAGATAATTGATTCACTACCTAAGTTGAATTGACAAAAGCTGATAAAAAAGGTACGCAAAACTTAGATACGCTTCGTCATAATTAAATACGCGGAACTTAATTGCAATACTAACTAGGAGAAGGGATATAAATATAAGTGAATTCGGGTGCGAAATTAAGTGACGAGTGACCTCAGACGTCGAACCTGCGCCTGTTGTCTTGCGCAGGCAAATCATGCGTTGTCAAGCCAATCGTTTTCGTGGCGATAGATTAGAAGAGCTAAAGTACGCCGAGAGCCAAATATTGACGACAGCCAGCGTACGCCGTACTGATAAAGAAAATTTGAGCAGCGCGTTCAAGAAGAAAACCAATACTGGACAATTTCCACAACGGAAACCGTTGGTGCAAAACCTGCCTGGGAAGCCAATTACATTCCTACATCGGATCACCGAGAAGCCACGCCTAAATTTTGGCCGATCGAACAATGATCTATAACGAGTTTCGGAAATCTTTGGTGGCAGTATATCCTGCATTTACCTGATTTACCGTAGATTATATTATCTGAATTAGGTCTACGTAACCAAAATTGCCAAGACTGCCAAGATTTCGCTGGAGGTTTTTGGAAGAGCAAGACTGCACATTTGAACGAATATGGGATTTTGAGTTAACGGAAACGAATCAAAGTAATTCTTAAAAAATGACCCATTTCATATTACTACCTAAAGTGCGAATTTTGAAGCGGTAATTAATAAAAAAAGTAGGTATGGATTAATCCGGGGAATTTTAAAGGCATTCGATTATGAGCCAGCGTAGCGCTCAGTGCGAATAATCAAGCGATAAGCATTGCTTTTCGCTGTGGTAGAACTCAAGTTGAATTGGGTAAGTTGGTAAAAGAAGTAAATTTTGTTTTTTCGGGAATTCGTTTTGGGCCGTATTACCTACTACTCAAGTAAAAATCTGAATATTTGGAAATGACACATCAGTAGTGAAAACCGAAGGGAATATGCGCATTTCTATTTGGGCAAGTTCGCAGGCAATTAATAGTGAAATACCGAAAATACAAGGATTAATGTACGTTTTAAACGCTAATGACTGTTTCCGATAAATCAATATAAATTCAGGATGGCGATTTGTGGAATTTTTCATCTGTGGCAGAGATGGGAATTACCTTAGACCAGTTTCGAGCATTCTGCCGGCTACTCCGAATTAGGTTTTCCTGCAGTTTTCCTAATTCGTAAGGTAAATACAGGAGTATTATAGAACAACTTAAGACCTTCTGCAGAGGCGCCTCTAAAAAGCATTATGCGGGTCACTCTGTAATTGGGCGCAAGCCTGTTGAGGGCCCAGAACAAGAGGGAATTTAGAAGATATTATCATCTCTACAATGATCTGTGAGTTAGCTAATTAGAGCCTGATGCTATTTTGTAAAAAAAATTATTACTTATGAACCCATTACCAAAGATTCAGTTTTTTATATAATTTTCAATTACAGTTTTTTTGTTTTAGTCAATGAGAATTTCCCTGTAAATGGCTTCACATTGATTAGTCATAAAGTGTATATTATTCTGAAGAAAGTCAAACCTATTTTTAATTTTTCATAGTTATTCTAATAGAGGTAGCTAGGAAAAATCATGGTCACGATTTACAATTTTTTTAATCAGAATTCGATCAAAAGTAATCAAGCTATGAATAGAAAAAGTGTAAAGTGCAGTGGAAATGGGATTTAAATTTTTTTTCAATATACATAGTAGCCTCGTTTACCACAATTGCGTATATATTGTTATTGATAGTAATCCAAGAAGTTAGAACAATTAC